TTTTGTGCAGCTCTGCACCGTCCATTCGCTCATCACAAGACATCACTTCAACAGCCACTTTGTCCACACAGCCCTCTAATTTCCCCACACACTATACAAGTCGTTTCATTGTATGTTCATGAATGACTCCGGAGTCCATGTGGACATGCTGCAATTACTCTTGCAAATCTCACTGACGTTGCAATTACCGAGCTGGGTTTCCAGTTCATTTTATCGAACCGACTTCACCTGGACTTTAAATTACAAAAAGCCGTTACGCCTCGGAAGGCAAGAAAGCAGCTTTGCAGATCTGAAGCTCTATTCCTATAATTCCGACGTTGCATTTCTAGAAATCGTATAATCTTTTTGAACGGGTTTCCTATTGGGTTGATGGGAAGCAATCTCAGAACAATCAGTGCGAGCAGATGACTGCTGTTAAAATAGGTAGGTAGAATGGTTCGCTCCCCACATCGTTCCTCCTCACTAAAGCTGGGAATGTGCTTCTTCATTATGGTCGCCGTTAGCTCCCTCTCTCTCTCCCCCCATCATTAATTTAAACCAATCTCACCCCTTTACTATTGCCCACATTCCCGCAAGTGAATTGGCCACTACACAATCACAGGGACTGCTTTATGCGCAAACCAGCATCGAAAAGGCAGCCCTCCAATCAGTGACTCAGCGGTGATCGCAACAGATATCGGACCTACTAAATTAAACAAGGTGATGAAATGATAGTGCCACGAAAGCTGGGATGAAAGGACCTATCGGTGGACGAAGTTGCAGGCAAATGTTCCTTCCCCATCATGTCGAATTTCGTGATATCTTTTCACTGCAAATTAGGCTACCGCATATCCGTTTGGACTCATTTTAAAGACCCCTGCATACGGCTGATCAAACGCACCTTATCAACAAGTAAGGGATATTTTAACCCCAAATACACTCATATGTGACCATCAAAGCAAAGAGAAGAAACCACAAGAGGTTCTCCATACCCTTGAGAGCAAAGTGGCCGTCGACAGGCAAGCAGCTGCCATGCTATTATAAGAGATTATAACCTTTCACCCAATCAGCAGA